GAAATATATTTATGTTTGTGGTTGTAATGTGACAAAATATGGAAAAGTTCAAGGGGTATGAATACTTTTGCAAACCACTGTATTCATTCTTGTATGGATCAGAAGCCGTGGGTTGGAATGTTTCCACATGTCACTTCGTCAAATGAGGCAGGCCATAACATTGTCACTTACAAAACATTTTCTATGCAGGACACACAATTGATTAAACAAAAGTTACCTGATTTGAATGCTGGGGGGTCATTGTGGATTAAGGCATTTTTAAAGGCCTGTTCTGGCATGGTTCCGACAATGGGTGATTTTAGACTTGTGTATTGTGCGTGCACTAGCTGGGGGGCGCTAACAGAGCTCGAAGGAGCTGTTGCTTCATTTGGTGTTCCAGACGACACACCTTTAGAAAGGTGGGTACATGCATTGTGGCCTAGGATTAGAGACAGATTTCCAATAAACATGGAGTCAGTTGAGTTGAATAATATCCCGCCACGAAAGGATGAGAGAGGGTCAGTTTATCTGGCGAGGGTCAGAGAGTTATGGGGGCCTAAAATTGGTGTGGATCCAGTTTATGATAGGCCTAGCTGGGTAATGTTCAAGTCGGCAGTATTAACGCCCCAGACTGATCAGGTCAGGAAGCAGCTGGAGTGTGTTGTGGGGTTAGACAGATTAGATTATGACTTGTGGAGTGATCATGTGGTCCATTTTATTGACAAACAGGTGAAGGACAAACAGGCTGAGCAACAAGAAATGAAATCCTTGGAGGCACAGTTAGCTAAGTCTAAACTGAAAGATCTGAGAGATAAAGTGAACCAGCCAAAAGAAAAAAGTGCAGTTCAGATGCCTCAGTTAGTGGACATGCCTCATGGAGGGCCGCAGCAGGAGGTTTGGGTGCAGGGAGCAGGGGGGCCGAACAATAATCAGCCTCAAAATTTTCAGCGTCACCAATACCCACCTGTTAGACCCAGGGGAATGAGAGTGGGTCGTAGAGGTAGATTTTTCAAAAAGGGTGTAAGAGATTACAAGACGGACGCATGTTTTTTATGTGGGCAACTGGGGCACTGGGCTAATGAATGCCCAACAAAGTTTGGGGTGCCCATGCAGCAGGGGGCAGGTCCAGCATTTGCACCTCAATATTATCCATCACCACCATTTCCACATACAGCACCGACAACACATAATGGTCAGCAGTCCTTGGGGGCAGCACAGAGGGGTGGTTTTCAGATGCAATGGGGTGCCAGGAGCCAGCGATGGGGGCCCACAAGAATCTTGACCCTATGACAAAACTTACAGTCTGCGGTCGAGAGGTGATGTGTCTTTTGGATACTGGAGCAAAATACAGTACAGTTAATGAGCCACTGCCGTTATCTGATATTGCGGTCCGAGTCGCTGGCTTTTCTGGAAAATCTGAAGAGTGGACTTTGTCTGAATTTGTGCCCTGCCAGTGGAACAATCTCCATTTTTACCACAGGTTTCTGGTCTCAACAAACTGTCCAGTAAATCTCCTGGGGAGAGATATCCTGTGTGAGCAGAATGTGGGTCTGCTGCTGTGCCCAGACCGGATTGAAATTTCATTTCCGGATGGACAGGTGCAGGTGTGTTCTACAGTCAGTAACACATCAGCTCAGATGTTGTTGGGGGGCATCTGAAGAGGCACCGGAGAAAAACCACATGGTTATATGGTGGGGATTGGTTCCTGAATGTCAAGCCATGCCGTTGTGGACAACAATGTCCAGCTGGGGTCCATGGATTAACTCTCTCAGACATTATGGCATGCCTGCTGATGCTCTGCACTGCACGATGAACTGTGCCCTGACAGATGATGGAACTCATGACATTTTGTGGGCTGAACTTCAGAGACATTGTGATGACACTGGTGAAAACCCGCTGGTGGAACTGGGGGACATTTTTGTGGCACCGGACAGAATTGCAGCAGAAGTGAAGCTGTCATCACCACTGAAGGAGCTGTATGTGTTGAGTTCTGGTTCTGCACCTCATGTCGCCTTGAAGGTGGCTGTGGGCTGTGAGGGAAAGTCATTGGAACCTTTAGTCAGATCTTGCCTCATGCTGGATGACTGGGAGGACATTAACACAGATTTGCGTTATTCACATTCAACAGGCATATACAGGATAAAACACACTTCAATCACATCTCTTATTCCTGAGAAAAAGTGGGTGGTTAGGACACATGAGAAAGAGAATCTCGACCATCCAAAAGCAGCAAAACTGTTGGAACAGTTACCTGTGACATTATGGGCAAAAAACAACACAGATGTGGGAATGCTGGATGTGGACCCTGTAAAAATTGTTTTGAAGCCAGGTACGGTTCCTATTTATCATCCGCAGTATCGTTTAAGGCCTGAACAGGTTCGAGGGAGTGAAAAAACTATCATGGGTTTGATAGAAAATGGCGTCCTGGTACCAACTTCATCTCCGTGGAACACGGCCATCTGTCCAGTGCCAAAAGCAAACAAGACTGAATATCATCTCGTGCAGGATTTGCGACCAATAAATAAAGTTGTGGAATCTACATGTTATGACATACTAAACCCTTATGTCATGTTAAACGCAATAAAACCAGAACATAGGATTTTCAGCTGCATGGATTTGAGCAATGCACATTTTCAGTGCCACTGCACATTGAGAGTCAGAGCCTTTTTGCATTTACATTCAAATCACAACAATATCAGTTCACTAGACTACCACAGGGGTTTGTAGATTCACCATCTATATTTAACCACATTCTGAGAAAAAACTGCAGGAGTTAACTTTGCCTCCAACGACATTGCTGTTGATGTATGTGGATGACATTTTGGTGGCAGAGGAGAATTCTGACAACATATTAAAAGTGACAGACATTGTTCTAAGACATCTGGCGAGTTGTGGTTTTAAAGTTTCCAGACAAAAGTTGCAAATTGTTCATGAAAGTGTCACCTTCTTGGGGAGAGTAGTGTCAAGTGAGGGGTTTCAAATGACAGAAAAACAGAAAACTTCTATTTTAAGTTACTTGAAGCCTAACACAGTGAGGGACATGATGAAATTTTTGGGGTTGGTCAATTACAGTAGATCTTTTGTGCCAGAGTTCAGCAGTAAAGTTGCTCCACTGAGGGAGTTGATTTCAGCTGCAGGTTACAGGAAATACTCAGCTCCTTTAGTGTGGACAGAGACAGCAGACAGGGCTTTTGTGGAGGTGAAGCAGAGTTTGGCAGGTGCATGTGTATTGCAGACTCCTGATTATTCACAGGCATTTCATATAGATGTAAGTGAACAAGGAGGATTTGTGAATGCAGTACTGTATCAGAAAGGATTGGAAAACAACAGGAGGATTTTGATGTACCACAGTTCAAAATTGGATCACATTGAAAGAGGCCACCCATCTTGTGTTAGACATGTTGAAGCCATTATGAAAGCTGTTGTAAAAACATCCCACATAACCATGGCAAATCAGGTGATAATTCATACTTTTCATGATGTAAAAGCGTTCATAGACTCCCAGGCTTTTATATCTTCACTGAACCAGTCAGAAAGTGTGAAGAGATTGCTGGACAGTCCACAAATTCATTTCACGGCTGAGGGAGTGAATGTTGCTTCTCACATGACGACAAATCAGGACCACATTTGTGCAGAGGTGACAAATCAGGAAATGAAAATACATGATAACGTTTTTCAAGACCCACTAGAGGGAGCTGACATGACATTGTTTACTGACGGACACTCTCATAAAGATGGAAATGGTGAGCTCATTGGGCCTCATGCAAGAACATGTTCCTATTCTTCTCCTAAATTTCTCTTACTTTTGTTCGTACAAAGGGTTCGTACGAACATGTCACGTCAGATTCAACAAACTCTTCTATCTTCAGGAAAAGTGTGTACATACAGTATTTTTAATAGTAATAGTACAGTGGTTTGCAAAAGTATTCATACCCCTTGAACTTTTCCATATTTTGTCACATTACAAC